CCCTGTTTGATAGAGTTGACGTCCTCTACACCAGTACGTGCTCCACCTACAGTGTAAAGCGGGCCACCACTTGATTGCTCATGATCTCCCTTCTCACGGCTCATCGTCAGGTGGACTTGTCTTCAAGTTCGACTGCAGCGGCAAGCGCGAGCTTGTCGACCCACCGGCCCGTTTGGGGTACAGGGACCACCAAAAACAGTGGCAATGGATCTCTGCCTCGGCCGGGGCGTGCTGGACTGCATCCGGCGTGATCGTCTCGGGCGGACAGGGCAAGCTGTTTTTCGCAGACCCGACCTGTGCGCCCGAGGCGCCCTGGAGCAACGACGAGGCGCGAGCCGGCCTGGCTGGAAGTGTCACTAAGGGCCTGCACCTGCGCGACCTTCGCCAGCCCACGCCAGAGGAGGTGGCGCACGATGTGGCGATGATCAAGCTGCAGATGCGGGAAAGCAAGCGGCGTGAGATAGAGGCCAGAGGCAAGCAGAGCGTCCAACGACGGCCGAGCAAGCTCAGGCCGTGAGGTCGCGCAGAGCTGATGAAGTGTGTTGGTGTCCCACAATGAAGGAGACGCACACAACATTCCTGACTGTCGGGCAGTCAAGAATTCTAGTCGGCGTATTCTGCCCCCCCCCCTTGCAGATAGGCCGCGTGAGTTTTTCTGCAGATCCCTGGTAAGTCGAAGAAGAAGAAAAAGATGAAGTGCTCTGGCTTCCTGGCTTTCCTCGTACTGACGTCCTGCCTCTTCCTTTCTGCACATGCAGCTTCATCTGGTACTTCGGCTGCCAAAATTTAATCATTCGCCCTTGCCATTCAAACAAATCAAAAGGTTCTTAATGATTTCTCTCCCACCCCCATCTTTGTTGCCACAGAGGAAGGTGAGGTGGTGATGCGCGCGGCGGTCATGCCGAGCCTCGATGCACGTGACATGAAGAGCCTTGCTGCGCAGGCCAAACAAGACGATCTGTGGTCGCCCGCCTGGGTTGCAGCAACTGCACCGACGACGACTCGTGCGCGTGG